CGGACGCGGTGCAATGTCTTCTGAACCCCTTCGTGGGTGGCGTTATGGATGCTGGCGATGATGGCTGGAATCAATGGGCGGGAGATATACCCTCCCTTTGTACAGCACAAGTCCCTCATGGATGGACCAGTTCGGGCTGGTTGTACCTGCTTGTAATTCTTGCACCCGATCCCTCCAAGTTGGTGATTGGGGCAGTACGCTCCTTAGGTTCTCCAATAGGGTAACGCGGGGCCGGGAGATCACGCAAAGGTGGACCGTGTCTTCATCACGCCTTGATAGTGCATCAGCGGCCCGGTTTGAAGTCCCTGCCTTGTGGTCTACGCGGAAGTCAAACCCTAGCAGTTTACTTGCCTAGTGTTGCTGGGGTGGGGTAATAAGCCGCTGCTCTAGAAGGTACTTGAGGTTGTAATGGTCTGTCTTGACGACGAACGGTCTGCCCCACAAATATGGCCTCCAGTGTTGGACGGCCTTGGCAAGCTCAATTAATTCACGCTCGTAGGCAGGTAGCTTTAGGTGCTGGTCTGCTAGCTTGCAGCTGAAGAAAGCTATGGGGTGCTCTTGTTGCTGCAGCACTGCGTCGATGCCTATGCCAGAARCATCACACTCAACCGTAAACTCCTTATTAAAGTTTGGTAGCTGCAGCACGGGGGTAGAGGAGAGTGCCTCTCTTAAGTTTGTGAAGGCGGCGTCCGCTGCTTCATCCCACTGGAATGCATTCTTCTTCAACAACTTGGTTAATGGGGCAGCTAGGAGTCCGTAGTCTCTTACAAACTTGCGGTAGTATCCTGTGAGACCTAAGAACCCGCGGAGAGCCTAATGGACTAAGGCTTGGGCCACTCCCGAATGGCCTGAATCTTGGAGTCATCTACCGAGACTCCTTCCCTGTTGATTATTGTCCTAGATAAAGGACCTGTTGCTCTCCGAAGGAACACTTGGTTCGTTTTAGGAAGAGCTTATGTTGGCGAAGTAGCTCCAGAACTGTTCGTAGGTGACGAACGTGCTCCACCCACGACACACTGTAAATCAGGATGTCGTCAAAAAATAGTAGGACGAACCTGCGGAGGTGGGGTCTAAATACCTCGTTCATCAAGGCCTAAAATGTGGATGGAGCGTTTGTGAAACCAAAAGGCATGACCAAGAATTCAAAGTGGTCGTGATGCGTTCGGAATGCTGTTTTCTTCACATCTTCTGGGGCCATTCGAACTTGGAAGTAGCTTGACCTGAGATCCAGCTTAGAGAAATATTGAGACCCATGGAGCTCATCTAGCAGTTCGTCCACCACAGGGATCGGGAACTTGTCCTTGACGGTCCTGTTGTTGAGCTCCCGATAGTCTACACAGAACCTCCAGGTGCTGTCCTGTTTTGGCACCAGCAAGACTGGCGAAGAGAATGGGGAGCGGCTTGGGCGGATAATACCATGCTTCAGCATCTCTGTACACTGGTTCTCTATCTCATCCTTCTGAAGGTGTGGGTAGCGGTACGGTCGAACGACCACGGGTCCAGTCCCTGGCATTAATGGTATCTGATGGTCACACAATCGGACAGGGGGAAGGCCCTTGGGTTCTGAGAACACGTCTGGAAAATTGACAAGAAGTTTCTCCATCTCGGCAGTGTGCAAGGCGTCGCCATGGAGAGTATGTACTTGTGGTCTTTTTGCTCTCATCTTGGTCCCTTTCCAGGTGACTTGTTTTCCATGTAGGTTAAACGTCATGGTCAAGGCACTGAAGTCCCATAGGATAGGGCCGAGGGTGATGAGCCACTTGATTCCCAATACTATATCAAACTCGTATAGGGGCAATACAAACAGGTCAGCGAGGAATGGTTCAGAATCCACCTGTATTTGGATGTTTCAGAAGATCCCTGGGCTGTGAACTCTCTCCCCATTTGCTACGGCTACCTGAAGCCGTGGTCTGTCTTCCACCGGTAGTTTCAGTTGGAGCACCACTTGCTTGCTGATGAAATTATGTGTGCTCCCTGAGTCTACCAGAACCCGTACTTGTTTTCCTGCTACTTGGGCCTGCAACTGCATGGTTTGAGAGTTTTGAATTCTGGTGATGGCGTGAAGGGAGATCTCGGGTTCTAGAGTTGTCTGCTCCTCTTCTTCCTCCTCCAGTTCGTCTACCAGGAGGCAGAACAACCGCTTGCAGCGGTGGCTGGCAGAGTACAATTCGTCACAGTTGAAGCATTGGCCCTTGGCTCGGCGTTCTGCCATCTCAGCTCTGGATAGGCGTCTGATGGGAGGTGTCGTCGTGCTGCTCCCCATGCTGGTTGCAGATCGGGGAGGGTTACTGGTGAAAGGCCGTGGTTCCCTGTTGGCTGCCAACGAAGTTCCTCCTCTAGCAGGCTTCGGGTTTGTCCAAGTCGTTGTTGGGCGTCCCATGTTGGAATGCCCTCTACAGATCTGCAGTTTGCGCTCGAAGGCTTGGGCTAAATTCATTGCCGTGACTAGGTTAGGCGGGCTCTGCATCTCTACGTCAACTCACAAAGGTTCGGATAGGCCAGCTGTGAACATATCCACCTGCTAGTCTGGCCGTACTGAAGAGGCTCTGGCGAGAAGGGTCTGAAACTGCCGTTGATATTCTGCTACGGTCCCTGTCTACTTGAGGTTAATGAGTTCCCCCAAGGGGTTGCTTGTTAATGGGGGTCCGAATCGAAGGAGGCAGTACGACTTGAATTGCTCCCAACTAAGACCTGGTTCTTCCTGCTCTACTCGGTAGAACCAGAGCTGCGCTTCTTCGATTAGGTGAAATGCGGCCAGGCTGACCTTGTCCTTCTCCTCTGTGCGCTGATTACGGAAGAATTGCTCACAGCGGTACARCCATCCCAGTGGGTCACCGCTGTCGCTGTAGGAGGGAAACTCCAGACGACTGTATTTGGGTATGACCGCTGCAGCTGGGGTGGTGTCTTGTCGTTCACCGGAGCCTTCGGCCCGTTCTGGGCGGCGGTTGTGGTTGGTGGCCTCCTCTTCTGGACTCCTTTCTCTGGTGGCGAAGTATAACTCTAGTAGGCACCGAAGTTCCCTGACATCCTCCTTGACCTCTCTTTACTTCTGCGTGATTTTCCACGAGTCGGTGTTCAAGTTTGTGGACCTTGGATGATAACTGCTCCATGTCGCCCATGGCGCTAGGCTCTGATACCAAAATGTTATGGGCCCGCGCATAGGATCTCGTCACGAGGCGGTCCACGGGGAAAACTCCTAGCCTTCCCTTGCCCTTCCCTTTGCGTGCTGACCCTATTGTGGCGAACTAGGGGGTGATTTGTCCAAGAGATCACCTTAACTCTCCTAAGCTCTTTTCTTGATAAAAAATTCAATGCCTTTTCATTAATTCGTGGCTCCTTAAATAGGAGATTACAGAAGGAAATTTCTAATTAAACTCAAACTCCAACTTGAAATCA